CAATTTAAAAAATTGGAAACTTGGGGTGAGGAGCTCAGAGTATTTGGGGAAATCTCCAAAATTGGCCCTGAGGGCCCTTCTGAGTCATTCTTCCCATTTAACTTTGTGGGAGAAGTGGTGGCATTAAGAGTCCCCAAGCTTTGTTACCAAGGGTGAGAAAAACGTCTGGCTATAAATTGTTTTTTTTTTTTAATGAGGGGAGGGTAACTGTGCCCTTCCAAATGTTTTTGGGATGGCACATCCACCCATCCTTGGCACTGGCAGTGGGAAATGGGAGTCTGTTTTCATCATCTCCATCTTGGAGAGGCAGATGGAGGCACTGAGGTAAGCAGTATATTCCAGAACTTGAGAAAGGATACAGTCAAGACCAGCAGGACCTCCCTATCTGCTGGACCAGCATCCGCAAATTCACTTATCTGCTGCTTCAAAATACAGTATTAAATTAAAAAACACAGAAATATGTACAGTCGTGCCCCCGTAACAATTGCCCCGCATTACGACGAATCCGCTTTACAACGATGTTTTTGCAATCGCAATTGCAATCGCAAAATGATGATCTAAAAGGGGGAATTTCGCTTAGTGATGATCAGTTTCCTGCTTCGGGAACCGATTTCCACTTTACTACGATCAAAAACAGCTGATTGTCGGGTTTTCAAAATGGTCACCGGGTGCTTAAAATGGCTCCCCGCTGTGCTTAGGGACGGATTCCTCGCTATACAGGCACCGAAAATGGCCGTTGTATGGAGGATCTTTGCTGGGTAGTGAGTTTTTACCCCATTGGAACGCACTGAACGGTTTTCAATGCATTTCAATTGGGTTTTTAATTTCGCTTTACGATGTTTTCGCTTAACAGCAATTTCCCTGGAACGGATTATCGTCATTAAGCGAGGCACCACTGCATTTATTTCCACAGTGTATTAACAGAACTAGCTACTAGAAGGAGCCAGATACAATGTTTTCAGGGTCCACAGGGCCAGAGGCTTGGAATCGATCCCTTGCAGATACTGCAGTTCTACGGTATAAGAAAAAAAATCCCTCCTACATACCTTGTTTTTGGCAAAATTCCTGTGGGTGTTTTCAGATCAGCAGACGATTCCCCTCCAGAAGTCACAGGCAGAGGACATGCTGAGACCTCCACGTTTTTGCCATCACCTCCATCTTCACCACAGGACTGTTGACTTGCAGTCACCAAGTAGTGAGAAACAAGTAGAACCAATTAAGCTACTCCTACATTAGCCAAATGATGTAAACGCTTAAGTCACACATATGCACAATATAATGCTCATTGGGTGACTTTATATTTATCCAGTTTCAACATCAATTATGAAAATAATAGGGGCCAGAAATGCTGTGTAAGCATTTTTGGTGTTGGCATCACTGGCAACATGAACCTCTCAGACAGTCTCAAGTACCAGAATGGAACTCACTTTCCAGGCATAAGGGGAGCAAGGGGGGTGGGGAGGGACTCGCAGTTTTGCCAGGCAGGAAACTTCCAGCACCTATGAAAGTTCTTTTTGCATGGAATGGCAAGACTAAACAGAGATGAACAAAGTACACAGAAACTAAGTTGCTGCAAGCCAAAATGTGGCTGTGTTAAAGACAGACATTTCTTCTGGAATGGCCAGTGGGGAGGGACTTGCAGATATAAAAAAAGGAGTCCAAAACTGGTTCCTTGGCTATGATTCCAGCCCAGCTTGGCAGTTTGAATCCTTCATGCTTATAGCATTGAACGGAAGGCTAGTTCAGTTGTCAGTCTTCTTGCTATGCTTCAGGTGAGCTGGTGGTCTTTTAAGCTCTTTTCAAAGCATGACATGATGGTTTCCCATCTATGGATTCATCTTTTGCTTTAGTACAAGTAGTAGTTACAATAACTGAAAATCTGTTTTCAGTGGAACATTCTGGGACTGTATCTGCATTTCCCAGGGCAGTGATTTGGAGAGAGTCAGGCTCTTTCTCCATCTAGCCCTCTTCTGCCAACTCTGAGAGGCAGCAGTTCTTTGGAGTCTAAGTCAAGATGCAAACTCAACCTGTGACCTGCTGCAGGCCAAGCCTGCGTCTGGTCCCCGAGCTATGGTCTCTTCCCTTGATGTCCCTTCTTGCTGACATTAGGGGTGCCAGGCAGGGGTGAGAACGGTCCAGAGCCAGTTTCTACTGCAGAGTCACAGCCCATGCTTCCTTCCGGGCCTGGAAAGGAAAGTCGTTCTGGCAGCGAGACATTTTTCTCCCTCCTCAGAGTTTCAGATGAGGACCAATGAAGGATGCAGGCAATCTCGAGCCTTATATGCGAGAGGAGTCCTTTTACTACAGGGTTGGGCAGAGTGTAGCCCTCCAGATATTACAGCACTATCTAGCATTGTCAAGGGACAGGAATTTGGGGAAATGTGGTCCAGCAAATCTCCCTCCTCAGAGTTTCAGAAGAGGACCAATGAAGGATGCAAGCAATCTCGAGCCTTATATGCGAGAGTCCTTCTTTTACTACAGGGTTGGGCAGAGTGTAGCCCTCCAGATATTACAGCACTATCTAGCATTGTCAAGGGACAGGAATTTGGGGAAATGTGGTCCAGCAAAATCTGCAAGACTATGCTTTGCTCACCTTGCATTAACACAGACACAGCCTTACATCCTACTCCCTCCTGTCTGCTTCCCAAGAGCTCTCTAAGTCCCCGGCATTGATTTGCATGCAAGTCCCCGGCCTTGACTTGCATGCGTTCCAGTACCAGCCTGAAGCCTAGGATCTGTGTTCTCAAAGGTTTGCTAAAAGATTCTCCTGCTGCTGGAGGCATAAAAGAGACTGAAAGCCACACAGAACCCCCTCGATGGCTGATAGGAGTCAGGGACAGTGCAGCGAGAGAGAGCTGCTCCCCCTGCTAGAATGAGACAGCCAAGCTTCATAAGCAACATTTTTATTTACAAATATTATTAAAAGCTCTGACAGTTTATCATGCTCTTCCCCTGCACCTTAAAAAAGTTTTTTTTTGTTTCATTTGTGGGGTTTTTTTTAAAAGTGCATGCAAAAGAAGTAAAGTCTTTTTTTAAAACTTTTTTATTGTAAGAAAATACACAGTTTGAAAGTGTGAATAATGCAATATTTATGACCAAGATTATCGGGAACAGGGAAAGAGGAACATGGGAGTGGGGAAACAAAGGTGGAGGTGGGCGGGTCGTAGGAAACAGGGTGGGTGGGTGGAAAAGGAGGACGAGGAAAAGTCCAAGGTGATGTGACTGAAAGACAGTGTTAAACTCCAAAGATTGATTTGGAAAAG